AAAAACAACTAATAACTTCCTTATACAACTATCTAACTCTCTACTTATTTGGTTCTAAGACAAAATTTGGAATATCAGAAATCTAACATATTACAAATAGAAATCTGCTCGTAGGATCTCTAGAAAAAACAAAACAAACTCAAAAACTATTCATTTTCCACAAACTCCAAATACTCCAAATACTATTACTACTTACAATCTTAATATAGATAAATTTATTCAAAAATCTTTACTTCAAAACTTCTCTATATATAACTGTATTTTCTAAATATTTTCTATAACTTACTTAGAGGTCTCTTTCAACCTTCTCTATAGTTAATGATAACTTAGGTTTAAATTAGCTACAAATAGAAAATGAAGATGTAATATCATATTGGATGACTAACTTAGCATTAGTAATAGCAATATATTATAGAAATCTTATTAGCTTCAAATATATTTCACCTTGATATATAAATATACTAATTCTTCTCCTATTTGATATTATTATTTAATAAAAAAAAAAAATAAAAATAAAACAATACTATGGTACCAAAAAAATTACTCCTAATATCTATTTAAGCTTGCATTTATGTGAAAATTATATGAATTATAGACTATTATATTTATTTTAGTGTTTTTTCTTTAAATATATGAATAGAATTCTAGTTAAATATCAGTATTATATTGTAAAATTTAATATGATATAATATTTATATCAGTATTATATGTTATAAAATTAAATTATAATATTAATATCAGTATTATATATTATAAAATTAAATTATGATATTAATATTGGAATTATATATTATAAAATTATAATATTAATATTTATTTAATATATTGTTAGACTCATATAAAAGTAGTCATAGAAATATAGAACTAGAACTTTTAAGAATTGTTTTTATAAACAATTATTTAGATAAGGTTGTATCAGATATACTTGATAATGAACTATCTGATTCTCTAAAAATATTAAAAGGAAGAATATCAGATGGTAGTTTAGCTATTTTGGATAAATTTGAGGTACAAGATTTCCTTTAATTTTATAATTTGAGAAATATTATTGACCAAGAAGAAGCCTATAGTAATAAATTATTTTCTGAAATATTTTTTGCCCAAAATTAGTAGATACAATATTGCTAGTTGATATTTTAAAATATTTAGTTACCTTCTATGATAATTCAGAATTAGATTATAAATTTACTATATCTAAAAAGATATAAGGAGTAGATCAAATACCTGTATTTTCTAAAATTAATCAGTATAGATAATTAAAGTTAGGATCAGAAATTTTTAGTTCTATATTTTCAGCTCACTATATCAAATCTTCTAGAATTATAACAAGATTTGCAGCTGAAAACCAAACAATAGATTCATATTTTGGCCAAGTTCAATTTTATTTTGACTACACCATCAATCTTCTTTCTGGTCCACAAACATATTATCTTATATTCATATAATGGTATAAACCTGCTACTAATCAAGCTATAAGGTTCTACATAAGAATTGACAAAGATAATGACCTTAGCTATAATATAGAGATATGAAAAAATAAATTTCATGAGTTGAGCAAAAACTGTATAATTCCCATATACCAAATTTACTACCAGTTTATAGCAGGTGTATATACTATTAAAACAAAATCTCCACAAACATATAAATCTTTTATTCCTTTATATAGAAAGTATAACTTATAAATATATTTTTATCATTTTTAATTTCTATAAATATATATTCTATTCTTACCAAATTCTATTTTTATTTTTAGTTATTTTAAACCTTACTATTTATAGTAAAGTTATTTATATTATATTGTATACTATACTAGTTATACTAGCTATACTTGTTATACAAGTCAAAGTATAGTACTATTTAAGTAATATTACATAAAACAAATTTTAGCATATTTCGAAGCTTACTTTAATCTTTCTAATTCTAAGATACTTAAACTATGCCTTCTCTTATTTCTGAAGAGCCTGACTCTTATAATATCAACTATTACTATAGCAGAAATAGAGATCATTATAGTATTGGTATAACTAAAGTCAAGCCAAAAACCTTATGTATCTTACCTGCAAATATCGATTTTACAGCATATGATACTAGTTCACATAAAAAGTATCACTATTTTAAAGTTCCTATTCAACTGCAACTAGCTACTTGTTTATACAGTAAATACTATACTAACTTTACTTCTCAATACTACAAAATTTCACCTCAAACAATCCTAGGAACTGCTTCTATAGAAACATCTTTTACTATCTCTGCAAAATATTTTAATAGAATTACTGATGAATTATAAACTTCATCTCTTCCAAAACAACAATAACAACAACTCACTAGTAATTCTAAAATTCTCTTCTCTAATTTTAATACCAACTCTACTCCTTCTGAAATTAGTTCTTACTCACAATATCATTATATATATCTTTGCTATAAACAAAAAAATATACTATATGTTTATCTTGCTAATACTAAACATGCACCTGATTATACATAATATATAATTTTTAAAAACTTTTTATTACACTATAATTGTATTTCAAAACTTTGGAATATTAAACTTACAATTAAATCTCAAACTTCTCTTTTAACTCTAAAACAAAAATCTGTACTCATAGCTATAAAAATAGCTAAAATGTTCCAAAAGAAAAAATTATACTTTTTAAAACAATTTTTTCAAAACTAACTACATCAAATCAATACTCTAACCTTTCAAAAGACAACACTTCTAAAACTACAATTAAAGATAAAAATGAAAAACAACAATCTGATCCTATAGAAACTGATGAAACTACTTCAAATAAATTTACTAAATTACTTCTTATTTTAATTAGATTGCAAATTATACAATTAAAAGAAATAGAAGCTAATACAAAACTCCAAACAATAGTTTTCTTTGATTTATTCAATTTTCTCAAAAGTTTCCTATATGACTTCTATCCTGAAAAGGAAATTAAAGCTGCTACTAAAACTCAAAAAACTTTTAAAACAACTTTTAAACAACTAATTCATATAATAGCTAGAACTCAACTCAAATTTCTAACAGATTTTATCTTCAAAAGTAATTCAAATATTAACTCAAATACAACAATTCTATTTAATATTCTCGAAAATACTTTGAAAAAATTAATTCACAAATTTACTACTATTTTATTTACTAAACTGAATTATAGTAAAATCTTTTCTTCAGAACTAATAATTCTTCTTTACAAAACAAAAAATCGAATGCAATTTTGCATAAACTTAGCTTGAATTCATCTTTATTTATCTGAAAATTATCATTCAATTGATTACAAAAAATTTGCTGATGATTTTAGCTTTATTTCTAAACACTTTACTAACAACTCTGCAACAATATCTACAGATAAAGAAGAGAAATATTTAACTATTAAATTTAACAAAAAATTTAATATTTAACTTCTCTTCACTATATCTAAATTTCTCTTCTTACGAGTCTATAATATACTATCTTTTAAAAACTCATTTGAACATTTTAATAAATGGTTTGAAAATTTTTTCCCTTATATATAATTGTCAATTTTCAGAATTATTAAATCATTAAAAAGTTTATAATACTCTAAAAGACTGAATTCAACAACAATTTATTATATAACTTAAAAATTTCTTCTATCTTAAATTGACTTTCAAGAACCTTTCAATAGTTTTAAAAAATGAACAGAAATTATTTGGTTTTCTAACTTTTATATATTAACTTGTAATTCCAAAGATTGTTCATATGAGCTAGGAGCTAGAAAAAGAGCTAAAAATAATAATTTTTTTAAATAAATTTTTTTTACATAAATCAATTTAAAATTAAATTAGAATCATTTTTCACTTAAGATACAAAAGTAGTTATATTAATAAAATTTTGCAGTATAGCTCTTTAAAGTTTACATTTCTTATGATTTATTAACATAAAAATTGATTTTCCGAAGATCTTTTTTTTTTTTTTTGTCAATTTCGTTCCTTTTTATAGCACCAAGCCTATTTATTCTAAATAATAGTAGTTAAATTCGTATTTATGATTCTTTAGATGTTGGTCAAGATGATGGGTGGGGTAAAAGGGGCAACACGGATATACATAGCGGTTGGGATTAAATTCTTCTCATGGTAAGTGCCAAATTTGCTATATTACTTATTAGTTTACCTTTTAATTATATATTATTTTATATTTTTTACTTGATAGATACATGGCTCACTTAAATACCAAATTGAGCCGTTTGTGACCAATACAACAATAATATACTTTAACACATAAGGTAGATCTTAAACCGATATTATTCAAATAATGTAAAGAAATACTAATCTCTTGCTATCTTCCCATGCATTGTCTGTTTTACTTAGGTTAAAATCGCTACTTATAAATATAACGATAGTTGGTGATTTGTAGCAATTTGCGTACAATTGCCATACCTAAATCCAATAAATCACAAATCGGTAAATTTTTATATCTTATTTGTTTGAATTTTAATAATTGTCTTAGAGTATTTCCTTATCTTCTTAATGCAGAAGAATTTACAACTTTCAGTAATTTTTATGATTTTCTTAACGCCATTCAATTGCAGAATTCAAAAGAAGCCTATCTCTTGAAAACTAATATATACACATATTCATACATTCGACATATCTTTAAACATACCACAGATTTATATAAGTATTAAATAAAGTAAAATATCGATCAATTAAAATTTTGACTTTTTAAAATAGGTTTAAGATAATAAAGTATTTTAGTATGAGCTAATGGCTTTGTGATATTTATAGATTATTTGATCAATATAATCTTTTGTTTGCAAGTTATTAATTTTTTGGCTTGCTTTATATATAAAATTTTTTTTTTGTTATTTAATTTTTTAAATTTAAATTTTATTATTCTAAAATGTATTGTAGTTAACTCTTTTTAAGTACAGATTTTTTTAAATGCAATAAATAATTTTAGCTTAAGTTGGAATTTATAATACAAATACAAATTGAAAAAATATATACAAGTTATTCTCGTTATAGTGAACTCTCGATATAGTGAAGATCTCGATATAGTGAAGAATTGTTTTTAAATTCACCGCCATTATTATTAACAACCTTCGCTCGATATAATAAAGTTTATATAGTATTCTCGCGATATAAGCTATAGTGAAGATTTTTTTTATCAGCTCGATCACTTCACTATAACGAGAGTAACTTGTATAGAGTTATAGCTATATGTAGCTATTTAATAAAACTTATCAAATTTTAGAATTAGATGTAATATGAAATCAAACAAATACTATTTTTTAAAGAAATCATTGAAAATTAAAAGTACTTACCACCAGTGTTGTATATTTTGGCATGTCCAAAGCTTTTTTGAACATGTCCAACGTCCAAACGTCCAAGTGTCCAAAATGTCCAAGCTGTCTATAGCCTTAAATATTTTAGTAATTAAAA